CAACACAGGGCTTGCAGTTCAACCCAATGAGACAAAGGAAGGATGCCGCTCGTTGATTGGCTGCTGTTGCTACCTCAATCCCTGAAGCTGTCCTAAAGCAGGAGGCCTGCTGACCACATGGCCCCAAGTGAAAGTCTTTTACTCAGAAGTTGGTGAAAATGTTTTCCTTAGATTTTATGTTCTTACAGCTTTGCCATCAGCTGAATAAAATACTTTGGATTCTCTGCCTGTTTGTCAGCCTCTGGAGATCTTCAAAAACTAAGTAATCCATGGGAAATGGGGTGGGGAGGAGCAAGTGGAATCTGTCATGCTAGCAAAGCTGGCCCAGTCTGTGGAGACCCAGCGGGCCAGGATGGGGGGGGAGAAGCAATTGTGGGGACCCCATGAAGTATCACTGGAGTGGATTAGGGGAGGCCTTGGATGTCTTGCTCCAGCACTAGGCCCCACATCCTGTTCCCCAGCCTGAGGTACCTCATGTGCATTTAAAGACCTGCACATTCAATTAACAAATGTATTGGGGAAAGCAGGGAGTGATCACGTTCATTTAATGTGATTCAATCAAACGAATCCCCAGGTTAAATGTATTTGGCAGGCTCTATTACATTTGTAACTGGAGGGTTCCCTGCATAATGAGAGTGAGGGAGGGTCACAGGGAAATCCTGCCTTAGCACCACACAAGTCCCGTGTCACAGCCACCCCTGCCATGCCCACCCAATCACACCTACCCAGCCAGTCATTAGGGCAGAGAACCAGTTGTTAAATTATCTGAATCCCACCAATAGCTCTTCTCCTTCCAAAATGGAAGAATTTAAAACAGATTTTAGAATCTGATACTTCTTTAATTCAAGTGTTCCTGCAACAATAAAATTCTCACCCAGCAGTTTGGTCATAAAACTTTTTCAAAGAAGTATCCAGGAACAAATAAACAAAAATACTGGAAAATGGAAGGAAGGAATTGATGATCCCTTTTCATTTAGCTACCAGAGAAGCTTTACTGAGTTGCTTCTAGTATTGAACCTTCTGTAAAGAAAGACATGGAAAAGTCAAAATCATCTTGGCTTTCCATTCATGGTGTCCCAACTACCATGACAAATGCAAAATATGATCCCATATAATAGATTTCAGAACCTACAACAAAGGATTAGATTTTTGATCTGAATATATACTTGCACTCCTACTGCACTCTTTTAAAATTTGATATTTTTCTATAAGTGCTATGGCTCTGATAAATGGAATATTTAAAAATTAAATTATTTCTGCATGGCCTTGAGTTTCATCACCAGGCTTTCAAGCACAGCATTTTTAATCTAAAATATCTGGTTCAAATCCCAAGATCTTTTAATTGAAATTTTCTCTTAACGGTTTTATCTGCAATACATTCAATCAAGCAGAATGGGGAAGAGATTTTAAAAGAATCTCAGCTGGGATTTCTTCTGTTTATGTATGTTCAGCCAAGGCTTTCTGTCAGCAGGCAGTTCTTCCCTCTCTGTAACAAAAATAGAATTTCATCCACTGACTGCTGGAGGCAGCACATGGTAATGCTACTACACACAGATAGAGGGATCCATTCACTGATGGAGCTAGAACACTTTACTCATCTTTCTTCTGTATAGAGCAACAGCTGCTTTTAAATTGCAAGAGAATTAAGATCATGGTATTTTCAAACACAGAAATCTGATCTGAATCATAAATGAGCAGAAACTGATTTAACTATCTAGGGATGATTTTCCATTCATCTGAAAATTGAAAAATGCATACTGTATATACTCCAGAACACATTGCAGCTATTTTCTCTTCTATGGAAAGGGAGATCAATAATTTCCATTTACTATAAAGCCTTTTGGAATTAGATTTAGGAAAGTAAGTCAACTCTATATGATACTGTTTCTGCCAGTTGGACTTTTTCCTACTTTAACTCTTAGCTTTAACTTTCAGTTAAAGCTGAATTTTTTTATCACAATATAAGAATCATCTTCTGAGTAGACGCCTTTTTGTGCATCATGGAAATTGAAGGTAGAATGAAAAATGTTGCAGACTGAACTACCTTCCAAAATGTTTGTGGGGATACATTGCTCAAGCAGAGCTTTAACAGATACTGGAGACTCAGAAAGTTCAGGGCACAATCTTTGCAAGCACAGTAGTAGCTGGGTTTCAAATTTCCCAACTCTCTCATGACTTGGGCAACACAAAGTATATACATTTCAAAAAATAAAATGCATGCAATACCAAAAGCAAATGTGTGGGGAAATAATGCATGAAGTCTCACAAACCAATTATTCTAAGAGTTCTGCCACTTTCTCTAAGTTCAAGGCTGGAGAGAAGAGCCAAGTTCAAAGGGCTTTTTAAACAAAGTCAGGGTAGGAACCATACACATCTTTTGGAAGATTGCCATTCCAGAAGGCAGATGCTATCACAAATGAGGTCTGGAACACATCAGATGGCACTATTTGATCAATAGGATATGCAGCATACCACTGCCTGGCTGGGTAGGATGGGCATCAAACTACAAATCCCTAAGCAGCACAATAGCTGAAACAACGTGCACTTTATACATTTTAACATTCTCCCTGCAAACATTTTCAGCATTAGGTATAAGAATGTTTCATGTGATGCAAGATCACGCCTGTGTGGGAAATGAATAGTAGAAACACCCTGATCCAAATGTTTTAGTTGTCTTATTCTATAGCCGGGATGGCGAACCTATGGCACGTGTGCCACAGATGGCATGCAGTCTTCTCTGTGGCATGCCAGCTGTCGCCCCAGCCCAGATCCACCATGCATGTGTGCGCACCTCCCACCGGCTAGCTGTTCTTTGGGTCTCTGGTGCACAGGTGTGGAGAGGGTGTGTGCATGCAGGATACGCGCCCTGTTTTGGCTTCCAGGTTGGTGCAGCCAACCTTCCAGGCCCAAAATGCTGCGGGGCACCGTACAAGGCCCCTCCATGCCCCGTTTTAAGGCTGGAAATACTCCTGCACCAACCTGTGATATTACCCACACATACTTTTGTTCAGGGGAAATGTCTTTTTTCCATAAAATAAATAAAACGTGCTGCATATTATGAAAGCTGAAGCACAAAGCTTTCGTTACTTTGGCAGAACCTGCCTAAAGCACTTTTCCTCACCTGGTCCCCTTCAAATATTTTGGATGAAGAAGAGCTCTAAATAGGAAATCAAAATGTGTATTTTATTCAGGATTTGATTATCTTGCTGATCTCTCCACATTTTCCAAACTGTTTTCTAAGAGCTGTTTGTAAATGCTTTCGTTCCCATCTTTTCCCACAGCATGAAATAAAGAACTTGAGAATGTGTATACTGTCTCGTAGGCTGGGAAGAGAGTGGGTTGGGGCTAATCTTCCTCTTTTTGCTGCTTCCATCATAATGAACTCTCTTGCATACTTCAATAGTATTGGTTCCCCATGCATCCCTCTGGAGTCTGCAGGGTGCCTAATGGTCATTTTTATTAGTCATGAAGCAAAGCCAGAAATGTGTCTCCCAGTTAGTTTTGACTTTTTAATATTTTGACTAATAAATTTTCATATCTTGAAATCTTTTCAGATTATTAGTAACTTTACTGTTTACTAAATAGATATTTTCCTTTTTCTGAATACTTTTAAATTGTCTGAATATTAAGTTACAGATAATGTAAAAAGCAGTCATTTTTGAACATTTTTATGAGGAAAAACTAGAATTTCCATATTAGTCCTCTGCCTTCAGCCAAGAGAAGACGTCATCTGAAATGTCATGTAGTGACCCCCCCCCCCCCAGGCATTAGCTTAGTAAGGCTTATAGTTGTATTAGGAAAGTCCTTCGTTTGTTAGTAATTATTTTTTAATCATTGCTGCCTAAGCTGTCCTTAATATCATGCCTACATGTTTTCATCTCCTGAATGCCATTTCCTTCTTCTCTCCTACTCTATAAGGACCAAAATGCTGCAGCATTTTTCTCCCATCTGGAATGCTTCCTTGTTTCCAAATAGGGTTGTCTCTAATTGTGGAATTAGTTGGAGTCAAACTTTAAATCTATTTTTATTTCCTTGAAGGCCAAAAGAGATACAGAGTGTCATCTTACGCTGGGTGCGTCCTGGTACGAAAATCCTTTAAAGAAATATCTTTTCCAATATTGCACAAGAATTGAAATTTGGAAATATTTCTTTGGGCAAAATATAACCATAATGTGACTATATTGTTCAAAATGTTGCAGGAAGGAATTAAGGCTGACTGTTTAGTGCTTTTTTTATTCAACAGTTGGATTATTGGTTCTGATATCTCAATTTCTAGATGATTTGATTTTGAAGCATAAAAATGTTTCATTTGCAGACCCATTTGTAAAGTGCTTTGGTACAGTCTTCCATTTCTATTTATTTAATAATAACTTTTTGAGTTTTTCTAACTTAGCTGAAAAATTTCTAGTGATTTCTTTGATCCTCTTGAAATTATCTTTTCTCATTATTTTATTCTGTTAACATCCCTGAATTAAATATATTTTCTTGTCCTTAATTAATGATAAAAGTTTGTGTTCCTGTTGTGCATTGCTTCTGTTCAAAGCTTCCATCCTGTTTTTGTTGCTATCATGGTAATTGCCCTAAAAGCCATTTGGATTTTTGAAAAATAGGATACAGTACTTCAAATAAATAATTGTAGATTACAATTTTTGGATTACAAAATTTAGCTTTAAAGAGCCATTTAAAATGGAAGAGATAAGATCTATACAATGGCAGACACATATCTGGGGCTGTGGAAATGATGACAAGTCTGGAGTTCTTTGGGTGTGTTCCCCCACTTCCAGGACTTTCTATTCATAAGCACCTGTGCCAAGCTTTCAATGAATAGCCATCAACGTACCAGTCAGCTATCTTGAGCCAGAAGGCGCTGCCCAGAATGTAGTGTAGCAACAGTTGAGCGTGTAAAGTCTAAGCCATTTTTCAGGCGCCTGCATTTGCATAAAAGATTGGAGCTAAACATGGTTTCTCAAGTTTTGATGATCTGTCTTTTCTTTTCTCAGTGTATGTTGTGGAAGAACAGCGAAGAGACAACTCTGGTGAAAGTACCTGCCTGACAGCATGTTGGACTGCACTGTGCTGCTGCTGTCTTTGGGACATGCTGACCTGAGATCCTTGAGAAGCAAAGGCTTTTGATACCTCTCTCTTGGAGTGCTATGCAGTCTCTTCCTTCTTCTCCTCCTGCTCCTCTTGTCTCTTCCTTTCAGCAGCTTTTTAGTACTGTAATAAATGAGATGGCTTTGTCCGAGCATAACATGCCTGCCAGTTGGATGCATGAAGCTAAATGCATCCTTTTTGATTTGGGTGGAGAATCACCCTCCTTTCTTCTTCTTCATGATTGTTCTTTAAATAATGTACTATATTTTATTTAACAAGCTTTTACTATAAATCATGTATTGATAATTTACACATACTTAGAAATAGAGTAATATGCAATAATTTAAGGCATTTTTGGTTTTCTCTTACGCTTAATTTTCTGTTTTAATAAACTTTATCCAATAAAATGTGATCCAGAAATTGGTAAGGCACTAATCAATTTTTCCCCTCAAAACGTTTAGAACACTAAAAATGCCAGTTATTTGTATACTGGCTCTCAAAGATAGGATAAAATATTATTTTTGTGTGTGTCATCTATTATCATCTAAATAAATGGGTGTTATGTGGGTGGGTGTAACTATTAGATTATAAATCCAGTTCTAAGTACCTTCAGTTAAAGTTCACTGGGTGAATTTTGGCCAGTTAATCTCTCTCAGCTTTGCTTGTCTCACAAGTATGCTTGCAAGGAAAAATGGAAGAAAACATTATTGGACTAACTGCTGTCAAGGAGGTAATGGTCATTGCTTTTATTAGGGTAGTCAAATTCATGAAGAAGAATTACTCTTGAGGTTGATGGGTCTCTCTTACCTCCAGAATCAAAACCCTATGTCTTAAAGGCCAAGGCCTCCTGGATTCAATAGGAAAAGATTGTTCTCAGGGCAAGTGGGTGCTCACATATTCAACAACTATTCAAATCAACTGCCTGTTTTCCTGGGTGTCTCAGAAGTCTCTGTGCTTGGTTGAGGGGATATTCCAGCTGCTGTCTGACATCTGAATCTAGATAGCCGCATGGTTACTAAGCAACAGTAGAAAAGGGTTTTCTGTCAAATTCAAAAGCCTCCCTTTCTTCCAAAAGTGCAAAATCACCTTTCCCCCTCCCCTCAACACTCCAAACTCAATATATCAAAAACGTCATAGACAAATTCCAAACTTTGAGAGTTTAATAACTCACTAACATTCTTGACCTTAATGTCCATGCAACGAATTGATTTACCATGACAGTATCTAATCAAATAGCAAAGTATATCTCTAAAACATATGTAATAACATTCTTTCAATTTAATACATCTTGAATATAAAAACGATGGCCAACAATTCTTAAAACATTTACTGGGGAGTTCAATAAACCCTACAAATAAGTATTTACTGAACTAACTTGATTTTAAAATTATTTATTAGAAATACATTTGAAATTATATTTTTGAAACCTAAAACCACTGATGTTATAAAATATTTCTCCAATATAAATTTCTTGCAATTTATCCCAGTATATGTTTGTCATTTTTAATACATGTAGAAACCTCCAATATATTTAAATGTTCTAAAGCTGTGAAAGCTTCAGGGCTAAAGAATTAACCAACTTTTGACTATATAGCAATTCAGCTAGCTTTGGTAAATTCAAATTCATTTAGCCTATGATTCCCCTCCAATTTTTTTCCCTCCCTGTTTACAAAAATATATTTCAAAATGTCAGTTTTTCCAGTAAAGTTCAAAAAAGTCTTACTAGCTTATGAACAATTATGCTATAGTTAGAATAAAAAAAATGCCAGGATATCCAAGTTTTCAGAAAGAATTTTGAAAACTCCACAATTGAACATAATTAAACTTTTATGATTTATAAGAAATATTTATGGGGAAACAATACAGCTTTTACTCTCAACATACACATTACTTGTTTTACCTCATTTATTCCCCAAAATTTAGGGACACTTTCATCCATTTCTTACTATCTCTTTCATTTGTGTAATAAAATTTGAATAAAATTTCTACTAAACTAAATTATCCATAGATATTTAAATGAAAAGGATAAAAAACCCTTTTTTGTAATTAGTAGGAATCTTGTTATCCATTGGATTAAAATTACCCCAAATTATTATGTACCTAGAATTTATAACATAATGCTGTAGAATTTCTATAAAATTGTAAAAAAATATATTGAAACATTGAAAAAAGAACTAAATGTCTGTGCTTCTAAAGGTAGAAGGGGTTAATCTTTCCTGAAGAATCCAGTGGGAGGGAGACACAGGGTAGATAGCAGCATCTCCAGTCAGTGCAGGGGGCGTGACCAGCACTGTGACGTCTCGTGTACAGACAGAGCTGCTCTCTCCTGCATGCCACACTTGTGCACGAATCATCATCAGGTTCTTGGTTCTAGGCTATTCACACTTTTTCATCGCAATTCATGTTAGCTTGTCATTCTTCAACCATTACGTTATGGCTCTGCAAAAGTGTATTAATTCGCCAGACAGTTTCTGTTTCATCTGTGGTGAATATACAGTGTTGAAGCAACAGCAGAATATTACAGACTTTGTGAAAAAAGTATACTTTGCATACTTTGAACTAAAAATTGGAGATCAAGATAAATTTGGACACCTCATAAAGTGTGCAAACGGTGTGTTGAGGACCTCCAAAACTGGTTGAAGGGTAAGAAAAAATCTTCCTGGATTCCTATGGTATGGCGAGAGCAAAAGAACCTTAGTGATGACTGTTAATTTTGTTCATGCGATGTGAAAGGGTTTAATTCCAAATGGAAGCATTTCAATTCATACCCCAATCTTCACTCAGCAATTCATCCCATCCCCCATGGCACAGATATACTAGTACCCAAGCCCCCTGCTACCTTGGAAGAGAGACCTAGCTCAGATGAAGGTGAAGTCATACCTGAACCAGATGATGAATCAAGTTCTGCTTTTGAAGATGATACAAGACCAAAATTGTTTTCTCAGGAGGAGATGAATGATTTGGTAAGAGACTTGAATCTTCCCAAAGATGCCGCTGAGTTACTTGGATCAAGGCTGAAAAGCTGGAATTTATTGTTGCCAGGAGTGTCCTCTTCATGGTTCAGACATCATGAAAAGGAGTTTGTTCCTTACTTCGCCCAGGAAGACAAGTTGGTTTATTGCATCGATGTTGAAGGTCTGATGGGTCAATTTAAAATCCAATATGATTCAGAGCAATGGCGTCTTTTTATAGATTCTTCAAAAAGAAGTCTCAAAGCAGTTTTACTCCACAACGGTTTTTACGCTTCCATACCTGTAGGTCATTCCATACACTTGAAGGAAACCTACGAGAACCTACGGTTCTTCGTAAACTTAAATATGAAGACCATGGTTGGCAAGTGTGTGGGGACTTGAAGGTCTTGGGCATGCTGCTCGGGCAACAAGCTGGGTATACCAAATACCCTTGTTTTCTATGTCTATGGGACAGTAAAGACCAACAAAATCAGTGGACCAAGAAGAGTTGGTAGCCGAGGGTGCTAACAGTCGGTGAAAAAAATGTCCTCCGAGAAATTTTGGTATCTTCCCATAAAGTTCTTCTACCACCTCTCCACATAAAATTGGGATTGATGAAGCAATTCGTAAAATCACTTCCAAGAGATGGAGAATGTTTCAAATACTTGGTCACCAAGTTTCCATGCCTGTCGGAGGCAAAATTGAAGGAAGGTGTGTTTGTCGGACCAGACATTAGAAGGCTTATAATTGATCAAGAGATAGTCAATACCATGATGGATCCTCAAAAAGAAGGGTGGATTGCATTTAAAGAAGTCATACAGAAATTTTTAGGCAATAACAAAGATCCTCATTACAAAAAGATCGTCGGAAGAATGCTGAAAGCATTTCAAGCTTTAGGTTGCCTGATGAGTTTGAAAGTGCATTTCCTCCAGTCCCACCTTAACTAATTTCCTGAAAATTTGGGAGCTGTGAATGGGGAACAAGGTGAACGATTCCACCAAGACATTAAAGAGATGGAAAGGAGATACCAGGGAAAATGGAGCATTACAATGATGGCAGACTACTGTTGGATGCTTGAGAGAGACATTCCAGATGCTACTCACAAGCATAAATGCACCAAGAGGAGCCTCACAAGGAAGAAGAATCGAGTTTAGTGTGTGTAGGTGAGCTCATTTCAGTTCAAAAAAGGATTTTCATGAAAATATTGTAACAAAACTTTTAATTTTATAAGTCTATTTCCATTTATTTTGAGGTATTGCCTTATTTAACATAGTTATCTAAATTGTCAGGAAACGTGATGTCCTTTGACAAAATGGAGGTCATTTTTGGATTCAGTGCACCAAAAAACATAAAGATTACGTGGAATAACCAAAACAGCTCTCTTAAAAATTTTTTTTGCATACCCGTGAATTATCAGAAGGATCACGACAGACTTAAATACTTAGCCCTATCTAACAAAATGTGATTCGGTGGAAAGAAAAGTTTTACACTTAGGCAAGAAAAACCAAATGCATGGATGTAGAATAGGTGATAACTGACTCAACAGCAGTAACTGTGAGACAGATTCAGATTTCCTAGCGGACAACCACTTAAGTATGAACCAGCAGTGTGCTGCAGCTGCATAAAAAGCCAATTCAGTCCTAGGCTACATCAAGAGGAGGATAGTATCAAGATCACATGAAGTGTTAGTACCACTTTATTCTGCAGTGGTAAGACCACCCTTGGAATAATGCATCCAGTTTTGGTCACCACAATACAAAAAAAAAAGATGTTGAGACTCAGAAAGAGTGCAAAGAAAAGCAAGAAAGATATTTAGGGGATTGGAGGCTAAACTATACAACAGGGTTGTCAAACTCCTGGCCCGTGGACCGGATGCGTCACGTGCCACGCCTGGCTTAATGAAGGGGGGAAAAGTCCCAATACATGACGTGACGCAGCCATGACAATGTGAGTTTGACATCCCTACAGTACAATGAATGGTTGCAGGAACTGGAATATTTAGTCTAGCTAAGAGACTAGGGGTGACATAATAGTGATGTTCCATTACTTGAGGGGCTGTCATAAAAAAGATGAAGACTCAGTAATTAAGATGCTGGACTTATCAGCTGGAAAGCCAGCAACCCAGGTTTGAAACCTGAGTGCCATGTGACGGGGTAAGTTCCCATCCTCATCCCAGCTCCTGCCAACCTAGCAGTTCTAAATCAAGCAAATGTGACTACATACAGTATTTTTCGAAGTATAAGATGCACTGGAGTATAAGACGCATCAAGGTTTTGAAGAGGCAGATAAAAAAAGTTTGCACTCTGCAAACCTCTCAAAAACAGCTTGTTTTTTTTCCAAAAAAAGGGCACGAATAGCCTTTAGAAGGCTTGTAGAGTGCTCCTGGGGGGGGAGGGAAATGAGCAGAAAACGGGCCCATTTTTTGTCAAAAAAATTGCATGGGTAGCCTTTAGGAGGCTTATAGAGTGC